ATGATTATCTGTAATACTTAAAGAATAGCTTTTTGAGTAGTTTGAATGCAAACAAATGGTGACCACAGCATTGCAACTACTTTCAATTGCTGTAATTTTCTATACTAATTTCCACACAACTTGATTTAGTTCTCTATCCAGTTCCCTAAAAGATACCAGTTCCAATAATGGTTTGGACCAGAGCCTCTCCAACTCTACATGCATCACCATCACCTGGAGAGCTTACTGAGATTCCCAGGCCCTACCCTAATGATTCTGACTCAGCAGTTCTGGAGAGGGACCAAAGAATTTCTAACAAGCTGATGCTGCTGATCCATGGATCGCACATTTAGACTAAACACTAATTTCCATGTATCCTTGTTCCCCAAAAGGTAAGCTAAGACTGTATGGGGACATATATGTATTTAAGTAAGTTCTGGAAAGTACCATTCTAATTATTTTGTCATCAAATAAAAAAAAAATCCTTCGTTGGAAAGATCTTTTATCTAGACTCTTTAATGGCTTAAAATGGCTGCTATTCCTCATTAGTATTTAAATCTCTTATTTTGGCAGTCAATGTATAAAGACACCGTATTTGCTAAATTTTCAACTATGAGAATTCCATTATGAACTAGTAAACTCCTGGCACACATATAATGCCCTTTGTTGTATGAATGAATTATTGACTGAGAGTCTCTTTCCGATTCTGTTCGGTACTGTGATATACAGAAACAGTTCACCAGTGTCTCAGCAAATTTCAGAAGAAAAAAACTGGTAAATCAAAATAACTACTTTTGTTCTTGCAAGATGCAAACCAGCACAATTGCTTAATAAAAGTCATATAACTGATACTGTCATTTCCCAGCTTAATGTGAGAACATAAAAATAGGATGGAGAAAGAAGTCAGTTTTCCATCCAAATTACTAGTTTCTTACTCCATCTGAAGTACTGCACACTCTGAGAATACCAGAGATGTCCATAGTAAATATCCAAATGCCTTGAGGATTTCCAAAGTACTATTCACGCAGACTTCTATGAATAAGTTACTGCAAATTGGTTAAAAAGTACTACACACTTTTACAACTTTGACAAATTTAGGATTGTCAACACCATGGTTACATTTAGATGCATTCTCTAATATTTTTCCATTTTGCATGTTTACGACTAAAATGATTCATTTTTCAGGTGTGAGCTAACAAAACATGCATTTCAGTAAATACGTTGTAGCAGTTAACACCATGGGTTCTAGAATCAGACTGTCCTGTTTTTGAATCCTACCTCAAACACCTATTAGTTGGTATGGCCTTGGACAAGTTAATCTCTCTGTGAATCAGTTTCCTGATGTGTAAAAAGGGCTCCCAGCTCCTACTTTCATAGGATTTCATGAGAACTGTGTGCGACTACACAGGGAAATGATGCTGATGGTGGTAGTGGTGGTGATGAATACAAGGACACTGTCAGTGAACAATATTTGTGTCTTATAAAACACAAAAATCCCTTGAAACACATCTATTTGGTATTTAGTAGGTTCTGATCCATTTTCTAGAAGCCCTGGTAGCACAGTGGTTAAGAGCTTGGCTGCCAACCAAAAGGTCAGCAGATTGAAACTACCCAGCCGCTCCTTGGAAACCTCTGGGGCAGTTGTACTCTGTCCTATAGGGTCGCTGCGAGTTGGAAGTGACTCGAGAGCAACGGGTTTGGTGGGGTTTTTTTTGGTCCATTTCTAATTATTAGTCAGTGTGAAATATACTGAAGTACACTCAGCCCTTCTAACAGTACCTTCAAAGGGAAATCTACCACTATTCAAATGGCGGGAGGGGGCGGGGGGAGGGGGGGACATTTACTTTGAAAATGAAAACAAAGAGCAGCTCTAGCTAAATTCACCTTAGACCTTGCCCCTCAACTGAATTTTCCTCTTCAATATGTACTTTTAACGCAGAAGCACTTCCCAAACAACCTCATGGAGATTCCAGGAAGGTTCGTCTACCAGCTAGTATCCACAGCACAGCATGATGCCTGGTCCATACAGAGCACTCGTTTATTTTTACTTACTTTACTTAACAAAAACAAAAACCAAAACCAGCCATGTTTACTCTCGCTAGAGGCACTGGTCTGATGCTAGTCTAATTATTTAAAATAATTTAAACGAGTGACTCGTTAGAAATGATTATCTGAATCTTCCTAACAGCTGCAAGGATGGATACTATTCTCATCTAAGGGTGATGGTTCTGCTACAACAGGTCTCCAATGTAACTCTATCCGTTTTTTTTCAAGCAACCACAAGCGTCTGCAAATGAGCTCTCAGCATCCTGTGAGAACACAGAAAGCCAGGAGGCTGCGGCAAGGTGTCCAGGCACCAGTCTTAGTGTCCAGGGTCAGCCGAGGTGCTCTCACACTCCTTGGAACTTCCTCAAGAGCCAGGTAATAGGAAGCAGGAGAGGTGAAGCTACATTTTTGGCTACTTTTTAAAATACAGTTGATGTCCATAAACGTTTCATTGGTAGACAGACCTTTATGCTGAAGTCATAACTCCATTGTTGTAGCCCAGCCCCATTATTTTAGAAACGAGAAGGCAGAGACCCAGAAAGACGAAGTAACTTGCTGTAAGGCCCCACAACAGAGCTCAGCTGGGTTGCAAACGTCCCCCTAAGAGAGGCTGCCTCTCGACCACACTGCCTCTTATAAGCTCAATTCATCCATCCCTGCTTTACTCTATTTGAAAGGCAAACAATAATAATCATCACTTGTAAACGCAGAAACTTGGTTCAACATTTTTTCCCCTTTTATCCATCTTCAGATTTGTAGTGATAATATTAAAAAACAGGAAAATGAGAAAAAACTGGATTTGTAACTTTTCCTTTCAACTTTTCCCTTTTGCTACATACCAAGTTTCCCACAGTTGGAGCCCTGGTGGCGCAGTGGTTAAGAGCTTGGCTGTTAACTAAAAGGTCAGCAGTTCAAATCCACACGCTGCTCCTTGGAAACCCTAAGGGGCAGTTCTACTCTGTCCTTTAGGGTCGCTATGAGGCAGAACCAACTTGATGGCACCTACCAACAACAAGTTTCCCAAAGTATGAGACATACAGGACTAGAGACTCTTTTAGTTGTATACATATGAACTTTTTAAAAAATTTTTAATAGTTATGTGTTTATTTCTTGTGCTTTGGAAATAAAAGTGTAACTAGTCCATCAAACCAACACATGAGTTAACTGACAAATAGTATCGCTTAGGATGTTTGTCATACCGTGGTGGTTTGCGTGTTGGTGTGATACCAGAAGCTATGCTACCAGTATTTCAAACACCAGCAGGGTTACCCATAGTGGACAGGTTTCAGTGGAGCTTTCAGACTAAGAAAGACTAGGAAGAATGACCTGGCGATCTACTTTTAAAAAAACTGGCCAGTGAAAACCTTAGAAATAGCAGTGGAACACTGTCTTGAGTTCTGTTGTACACAGGGTTGCTATGAGTCAGAACCAACTCAACGGCACCGAACAACAGATGAGGCACATGAAATGCCCCTTGCACAAAGTGCGTGAAGTAACAGGCCCAGTGTTCAAACCCACGGACTTTTAATCATAGCCATTTGGAAATATGTGGGGATGGATAAAAAAGAACACACATTCTAACATTTCTCGAAGCCTTTTATTTTGGCCTATTTAGAAAAATCTATTTTGAATGAACTGTTTTCGTCTTGCAAAGTTAGTGTTTAACTTACTTTTTTGCCTATTAAAGTTTTTATCAGTATTTATGGCTTATATTTGCTTTTTTCATTACCTTCTATTTATAGCTGAAGAGGAATTACCGTTATGGCAATGATATGGTAACGAGCAGAGACGTACCACATAAATTATCAGCTCACTGGATATGACAAAACTGAAGGTGAGGAGCAAATGGACGAAATTTGAGAAAAACCTCAGGGATACGAGCATACTTATTTCACCCCCACATTTTTACCTTCCAAGTCATTTCTTAACTGAGTATTACAAGTATTTATATTATGTATCCATACATTCATTTAAGTGGGAGACATCTGATTTGATCACCAATTACTTTAGGGCACTTTTATTCACCTGGACTTTCCTTGAGGCCTCTCACACTCTTCAACCACTAGTGTTTGATGACTAAGAGGCATAAGCCTTTCAAAAAATGGATAATTTGGAAATAACTGGTATAATGAGAGCCTGAGGAACGCTAGGGTCGAGGGTCTTCTCCATATTTAATAAACTATGACTAAGAAAACTCTTACGATCAAAACTCATCACTAGAGCAAAACTCCCAGAATAGAGGAGCACGGTCACCATCCACGTGGTGGATACCTGTACAATCTTTTAAATACAGTAACGTGAAAGCTGATATTAATTTAAGATAGTGTCTAGATTTTCTTTTTGGATGAAACTGTCACAAAAAAAAAAAAAAAAGATTTCAGGTAGAAAATGTATTCTGGCATCTATGCAATTTAGGATTTTAACACATTTACCAGCTAAAATATATGGCCATTTAGTTATCTTTTAACAAGTATGTATATGCTTTTCCTAATTTACATGCCTCTCATTCATTTAAGAATGTTATAAAGCAGTAAGAGTGTGCCAGACAGGCTCTCCCAACAGAAGCTATGGTCTGTGGCCTCAGGAGCTCATCATGGAACAGGGGACGTAAGATACAGGACAGGACTGCTGCACAGCACGCATGTGCAACTTCTCCAAGGAGAACAGTAAGGAAGGTCACAGTGTGCCTTCTACTGTCTCTAGGACTGATATTTCCTTCTGCGGCACCCAGCTCCCATTAACTCAGAGGCTTTTAAAGGCTGAAAAACAGCCTAGGCCCACTTAGGTCTAGCCAAGAAGAAGAGACTAGACAGGGAATATGATTGCACACCACTGAGGCTACGTGAAGCCCCATCTCCTGTGAGCTAAGAACCCTCTCTCTCACAGGTGCTAGGGCCTCATGTAAGTAGATCTTGTATCCTCAGTAACAAAAGCTCACAACATAATATCTAAAAACAACTTTCAGAATTGCTTACTTGTGGGAAGTTCTTTTCTTCATCATGTTTGCAGACACACCAGCATGTCCTATAAGAGAGGTAAGTATACAGTCAATAAAAAAAGAATAGAAATACTTTAGAACAGAGGAAAATATTAATTTCTGAAAAACTATTATATAAAGCATTAAATAAAAACTGTTAATCAGCAAATTAGGAATACAAGGGGAAGTCCTCAACGTGATAAAGGGCACACAGGAAAAACCCACAGCTAACAGCATACTCAATGGTGAAAGTCTGAAAGCTTTTCTCCTGAGATCAGGAATAAGTCAAGGATAACCACTTTCACCACTGCTATTCAACACTATACTGGAATTTCCAGCTAGAGCAATTATGCAAGAAAAACAAAAGGTATCCAAACTGAAAAGGAAGAAGTAAAACTGCCTCTACTAGAAGATGACATGATCCTATATATAGAAAATCACAAGGATCCACAAAAAAGCTACTAGATCTAATAAGTGAATTCTGCAAAGTGACAACGTCCAAGATCCATACACAAGAACATCTGAAAGGGAATTCAAGAAAACAATCTCATTTATAATAGCATCAAAAAGAATACCAAGAGATAAATTAAACAAGGCAGGTGAAAGACTAGTAAACTGAAAACTATACAACACTGCTGGAAGAAATTAAAGAAGACCTAAATAAATGGAAAGACATCCTGTATTCATAGATTAGAAAACTTAATACTGTTTAGATATCAATACTACCCAAAGCAATCTAGAGATTCAACATAATCCCTATCAAAATTCCAATCGTCTTTTGTGGTTAAATAGAAAAGTCAACCCTTAAATTCACATGGAATTGTAAAAGGGCCTTTTATGGATTGAATTGTGTCCCCAAAAAATGTGTGTCAACTTGGCTAGGCCATGATTCCCAGTATTGTGTGGCTGTCCTCCATTTTGTGATCTGATGTCATTATCCTATGTGTTGTAAATCCTAACCTATGATGTTAATGAGGCAGGATTAGAGTCAGTTATGTTAAAGACGCAGAACACAATCTACAGGATTAGGATGTATCTTGAGTCAATCTCTTTTGAGATATAAAAGAGAGAAGTGAGCAGAGACAAGGGGAACCTCCTACCACCAAGAAAGAAGAACTGGGAACAGAGTGTATCCTTTGGACCCAAGGTCCCTACACTGAGAAACTTCTAGGCCCAGGGGAAGACTGATGCCAAGACCTTCCCCCAGAACCGACAGAGAGAGAAAGCCTTCCACTGGAGCTGGCACCTGGAATTTGGACTTCTAGCCTACTAGACTGTGAGAGAAAAAATTTCTGTTTGTTAAAGTCATCCACTTGTGGTATTTCTGTTATAGCAGCACTAGATAACTAAGACAGGCTCCAAATAGACAAAACAATCTTGAAAAAGAACTCAATACTTCCTGGTTTCAAAACATACTATAAAACTACACTAATCAAAATAATGTGGTACAGGTATAAGGACAAACATACGTAGGAATGTAAAATGGTATAGCCCCTGTGAGAAACATTTTGGCAGTTCCTCAAAAAGTTAAACCAAACCTGTTGCCATCAACTCATAGCAACCCTGTGTGACAGAGCAGAACTGCCCCACAGGGTTTCCAAGGAGCAGGTGGTGGATTTGAACTGCCGACCTCTTGGTTAGTGGCCAAGCTCTTAACCACTGGGCCACCAGGGCTTCAGAATTACCACATGACCCAGCAATTCCATACCTGGCTACACCCCGAAAAGAACTGAAAGCACAGATTCAAACAGATACCCGTACACCAATGTTCACTGCAGCACTATTCACAAAGCCAAAAGGCTGAAAACAACCTAAGTGTTCATCAAGAGACGAAAGGATAAAATTTGGTTTATACGTACCATGGACTATTACTTGGTCACAAAGAGAAATGAAGTCTTGATACATGCTATAGCGCGGATGATTCGTAAAAACTATATGCTGAGCGATAAAAGTCAGCCACAAAAGGACAAACATTGTATGATCCCACTTATATGGAATAGGCAAAACATACAGAGACCAAAGCTTATCAGTGGTTACCAAAGGCAGTACAAAGGAGGAAAGGGGGAATCATTGCTTGCGGACACTGAGTTCCTGTTTTAGTTAGAAAAATCTGAAAAGGAATAGTGCTAATGGTTGCACAACATGATGAAGGTATTCACTGTCACTGAATGTAAAAATTGTTGAATTGGCAAATGTTTTATTATATATATTTTTACCACAATAAAGAAGACAAACTGAGCTGAAAATAAAGAATTCATTAAAGGTCTACTGGACCAAACAACAGATCAGCCTAACTAATAAAGCATTATGCTCTTTTAAAATCTATCTCTATGGGATCAAAGTGACAACATCAACTCAAAAGGTTGTATCTCAGGGGACAGTAAGTTTATGTTAACGGAGGAGGAACAACTCAGAGTAGAAGGGTGCGAATGGCTGTATCAATGTAATCAATGTCACTGAACTGCACATGTAGAAACGAACTGGTGTACGTTTTTGCTGTGTATATTCAACAGCAGCAACAAAAGTTATTTTTTAAAGAAAAGGTATATTAGAACCGCACCACCCTCCCCACTGTACCTCATTACCCAAAGCACATGTAGCCCCACACTGAATATAATGAGTACTGGTTTCTAGAAAAGGCCACCTTAGTTTAGCATTTGGGCAGCTCCCAGTTTAACAGCCAGCTCCCTGTCCCTGCATCCTAACGCACAGCTTGTCAAGCCTCCACACTCCACATAAGTTCCCGCAAAGGTGGCTTTCCAATTTAGCAGAATATCATGGGAGAAACAGAGTCTTCTATGTATCAGTCAACGAAACATAAGCCACTCATAATCAATAATCCTTTAAAAATAGCCATGTTAAAAAAAAAAAGAAAAAGAAGAAGAAAACTTAGTAGGATGACTGGGTAAGACCAAAACAAGTTGCAACACTGTCCTTGAAATGACCAGAGAACTAAAAAAATTAGTAAAGAATTGGTAACCTCAAGGAAACTGAAGATATTATATTTACAAAACAGGAACACGAGGTTATGAAAAACAAGAGCTCTTTAAAATTAAAAAATGAGCAAAGGTACTATCTGTGCAACTTTTCCATAAATCCAAAATTATTTCAAAATAAAGAGTTGAAAAAATAAAATTAGCCTAGACTCATTCTTCCATCATCAACACCGAAGACAGGAGAATGAGTGATATTTTCAAAGTATGTGAAGTAGGCTGAAAGACCCAGTACAGATAGGAGCAAGAGACCAGGAACTCAAGGAAGAATGCCTCCAAGAAGCGAGGCCACACAACAGAAGGAATAAGAAAAATAACTTATATCACAGACAAAAGGCTAATAACACTAACAAAAAAAGAGCTTCTAAAAGTAGAGAAGAAAAATAGGTGCAACAAAAAGAGAATAAGGAAGGGAAACTAGCCCTTACGCATAAAGACAAAATATTAGGCTTGCACATAAAACTACACTGAGACACCATTAGACACCATTTCTCACCTAACAGACTGACAAAAATCCACGTTTGACAACATACTATACTGGCAGGATTTGTGGGGAGAGAGGAACTCTTACATATTGCTGGGAGGAGTGTAAAATTTTACACAGTACACGGAGGGGAATCTGGCGATATCTCACAAAATTACATACGCATTTAGATACTGGACTCAATTCTACGTCTAGAAATCCAATGATTCACCGGCAAGACTCATGGACAAACCTATTCATTGCCACTATTATTTACAATCATGGAAGAGGGTGGGGGTGGGGGGGAACAACCCAAATGCCCAGTAGTAAGAGACTACTGAATAAGCTAACAGGGTACATCCACACAACGGGGCACTATCCTTACCCGCTGCCATACCCAAGTCCATTCTGACTGACGGTGACCCTATAATGGAGCACTAGTCAGCTGTAAAAAGCAATGAGGAAGGGCTCTAAGTACTGTTAAAGAGTGGTCACTAATATCTATCGTTAAGTCGAAAAATAAGGTACAGAAGAGTAAGTAGTATGTATATATTCACTAGGCACTAATGTCAGTCTGACACCAAGAGTGGGGTGATACCACCCCTTTGAGAATCACTGATTTTCCAGTGCAAACAGAGTAAGATCCTTTACTAAGTAGCTACATCTACATCTATTTGTTGAGTGAAGAGAGAAATGAAAGAGAACCGTAATTTACAATATGAACTGTTCTATGATTCATAAAACAGATAAACTGTACTAAACCATGACATCTAAGAGAAATTGTATACACTCAAACTGTTTTAACAGAGGCTCATTCAGACACATTCTAAAATGAGACCAAAAATGAACTTTTAACTTAATTTCATGTGGATTCAGATATTCCAAAGACCAATGACCATTCCAGCAACTCATTTTAGATCAGAAATTCCAACCAACTCCTATCGAGATCATACTTACAGACCTACAACCACACAGTAAGAAGAGTTCCTCCCCCATGAGTACCTTTCCCTCTTTTGAGATTCCACTGAGACCCTGTCAAATAAGGCAGTATGCTCCCTTGTTTCTCTGCAAATTTAATAAACCCAGCTTTGAATGATCAGCAGGTTTCCCTGGTGGTCTCTGGGGGTACATCCTCAACAGAAAGTAAATGAGCATGACTATTTCAATTTTTAAACAGAAATCAGAAGATTGGAAAAGTGAGCCTATTCCTGACATATGAACAGTCTGAAGGATTCTAATTCCTGGTCTTTTCTGGGATCAGAAATGCAGTAAATACAAATCCTAATTACATGTGATTAATGATCCTTATTCCAGGAACAGGTGTTGACAAGGTATCTGTTTCACACACTGTTTGGAAACAAACAAAAAAAGGCTGCTGGATAGTACTTTAGGATCCTCAAAGTCACTATGCACCAACAGCCAGCACCAAACTACCATGTTCTCTCTCCATCTCTTTCCAGCACTGAGAGACTCACTGCTCACAAAGGCAGTGATTCTCAGGACTCTCAGCCAGGCTCCATCTCAAAATGTGCAGAACGGGGGTTAACAACAGCAACACCCCTATCCTCATCCCCCACCCCATCCCCAGGCAATAGTGTACTGCAAGGTGACTGACTACCAAGGGGAGAGAACAGCTATACAGAAAGCAGTTCTTGTCTTCCACACAACTGTGATCTATCGTGCTAACCGGATGTTTACTCGGTTTAATTTGCATTTGTCTGATCACTAGTGAGGCTGAGCACCTTTTCGTAAGTTTACTGCCCACTCTGGTTTCTTCTAAAAATTGTCTTTTCATCCCCTTTACCCATTTTTCAATTGGGCCTTTTATCTTTCTTTCGACTTGTAGGGGACTTTATGTATTCTAGTATCTAAATCCTCTGTTGACATGCACTGTATATACAACCTTAAAGACAACTGAGAAGAACGTCACTGAGTTATAACCTGTCACAGCAAAAAGCTGGCCACAACTTTAGCACTCATCAAAAAGAAAATGGGTCAAGTCTGATCATATAATGAACGTAACAGTTTAAATAAACTACCAACAAGGAAAAACCACAAAAACAATGACAAACAAAAAGCAAGCTGCAAAACATATTCAGTATGATACCATTTCTGTAAATTAAGCCACACTAGTAATACCTATACATGCAGTGTAAGTATAAAAGTAATACACTTCCCAACTACAGAATATAGATAATTCTCGGAAAGAACAGAGGGAACAAGCTGGGTTTGAAGAGTACTTCATTTCTTTAAGAAGGGACTTCCAATTTCAAGATAGTAAAGGCTTCTTCCAACCACTTCTACTCTCAAAAATCACCTCTCCACAACAAAGAACGACCGAAAAATGAGCTTCATATTCACTAAACTCGGATTTAACTCTGAATCATAATACATGAAAACGAAAGCCAATGGAGAAATGTTAAATGTCCCAACACACTGGAAGGTCAAATCGAAGCATCTGCAGAT